TGAATTTTGATCTATAGATAATGTCAGTTAAAATAACCCTTAGTTTACTCTAATCAGCCCTAATTAACTCCTTAATCTCCTTCTTTCTTCAACTATTTATTAATTTTCTGCTGATTTTGTTGTTTGTTTTTATTTTATTAACTATTAATATTTAAACTTTTTTGTATTTGCTTTTTTTTCTTAATATTTTAACACATGTAACATATATTTTCACATTTCCCATAAAAAAAAGAAAAATTGAAAAAAAAACCCACATTATTTACTTTGTAAATAACTTTGCAAGGCTTTCTACCAGAATCCTAATTTTGTCTGCAGTAACTATTTTTGAACTAACACTGCTAAAAAAAGAAAAGAAAAAGGAAAGTATGTTTTGTTGATTTTTGTTGTGTTTTATTATCTAAGGATTGGGGGTAAAAAAAAATCTTTGTTGCAAGACAATATCATGATAAGACAGGCTTGTTTGTCCTTAACCCCTTCCCGTCTGACTTATTGTAAAATGATGGCTAGGCGTGAGCACTACAATTCTTGGTGGACGTCATATGATCTCCTTCAGATGTGTTCCTCATGCACGCCTTAGGTGGTTAGCGTGATCTGTCACCCACTGTCCACAGTACACAGCAGAAGACTAAATGTTGTACTGAGCTGGCCTCAGTACCATGTGATCACTGTTACCCAGGGGCAGACTGACCATTTGGAAACTCGGGCACTGCCCGAGGGTCCGGGGTGAGTAGGGGACACCATGAGATGCCCCTGGTACCTTTTTTATAGACTTTTTTGAGTTTGGGCAAGGACACAGGGGCACCATGATCCCCTATTGCCCCAGGGGCCCCATGATTTGTCAGTCCACCCCTGCTGTTACCAGTCACAACAATCAATAGTGCACAGTGGGGCTGATTTGCTAAAGGTAAATATACTGTGCACTGCAAGTGTACCTGCAAGCAGGGGCGGACTGACCATTTGGAAACTTGGGCACTGCCCGAAGGCCTGGGGTCAGTAGGGGGCCCCATGAGATGCCCCTGGTACCTATTTCATAGGCTTTTTTGAGTTTGGGCTAGGACACAGGGGCCCCATGACCCCCTATTGCCCAGGGGCCCCTTGAGTTGTCAGTTCACCCCTGCCTGCAAGTGCACTTTAAGTGCTATGCAAGTGCAGTTGCTTTATAACTGAGGACGAGCGCGGCAAAGTTCTACTGATTTCTTTCATCCAATCATGTGCAAGGAAAATTGCTGTGTTTTTTTTTTTATTTTCCTTGCATGTTTCCCTCAGATCTAGAGCAACTGCACTTTCAGTGCACTTGCAGTGCGCAGCCTATTTGCCTTTACTAAATCAACCCCAATGCCTTTCATTCTTAGCCATTCATTGTGCACTATTGTGATCTCTGTGACTGTGGTGAAACTGTGCTGCTCCAGTCACAATAGGTAACAAAAAATTGTAAAAAAAATTTTTTTTTTTAAATTATTACTTTTTTGCATACTGTCACCAGTCATTGTTCCTGATCACCGCTATAGCATTCATATAATGAAGGTATATTGCTCTGGTCACAGTATGTAAAAATTTGAAAAAATGTATTTTATTTCCAAAAAAATTGTGAAAAGAAATACACCTTTAAAAAACTCACCGTGCCTCTTACTAAATACCTAGGACTGTCTGCTTTCCAAAAAGGAGTCATTTGGGAGTATTTTAGAGCCTGAAAAAAATGAGCTAGGGTGTCCTTATATCAGGACTGATTAATTTTCAAATAAACATACCATAGTCTGTGGGTTATTTTTACCAAAGAAAGGTAGCAGTATACATTTGGCCTACATATTTTAAGAAAGATAATTTAATTGCAAACTTTTATAACAAAAACAAAGTAAGGTGTGGTTTTTTTTTTCAAACTTTTTGGTATATTTAATTTATATAGCAAAAAAAAAAACAACAAAACAGTGGTGATTAGATACAACCAAAAGAAAGCTCTTTCTGTCCTAAAATATAAACAAATTTCATTGGGGTACAGTGTTGCATGACATGAGTAAATGGCATTCAGAGTGTGACAACTCTGAAAGCTGAAAATTGACCTGGGGAGGAAGGGGAAGAGGTCTGGTATTGAGGCGCATAGTGGAAATATAAAAATTGCTCTGGTAAATAGGGGGTGTACAAGTGTGAGAGATGAAGTGGTTAAACTGAGACACAAATGGTAAACTTGCACCTTTCACACTTCTTGTCCCTTTTTTCATACTCATATTACATTCAGTCTCAACCTGCACTCTCACATGAAAGGGTTTTAGATGGATACAGCCTCTCTCTCATAACTTTCTACTCATATTCTCTCAACTTTCTGTCCTTATTTTTCCTTACTATCTAATCTCTATCTAATATCTATCTCCTCCTTGATATCTATTTAAAGACATTTGTAGGTGATAGCTAGAATAATGTAAAAGTACATTTCTGTCCATTGTTTTAAATTTATGCAGTATATCACTTTCTTATTTACCGTTTCCTATCTTTATTAACATATCCCAAAAAAAATTGTTCTGTACTAATTCCTTCACCATCGCATTTAACCAACTGTGGAAGAGATAACACTTCCCTAGACTAAGTGGCAAAGAAATTGTCTATGAAATTGCCCCATTTGACGCAATGACATTGAAACAACACATTAGAATAAATACATTTTCTTCCACCAATGTCATATATGCATTCGCATATGGCAGAGCCACATTAGAACCACTTCCAAAAGACTGTATATGTTTCCTCTTAAAGTGGTTCTCCAGTCTCCTGTGAAAAAACTAAAGGTCAGCAGCTACAAAATCTGTAGCCACTGACTTTTAAAAAACAGCCACTCACCTGTCCCATGATTCAGCCGTGTGCTCACCCCAGCCGGGTTCACCTACCATCTTCTGTCCCGGCACCTTAACTGTGAGCACCTGGCTGTGACAGCTTGCGGCTTTACAGCCGGGTGCCCACTGCGCATTTGGAAGTATCAGAGCAATTGTGAATGGTCCCACAGTCTTTTGGGACCTGTCATGTGTCCCAGGGTACTGCAGGGAGGGAGGAGGGGAGGAGAATGTCTGCTTCCGACCTCCTAGCAGGTCAAAGCTAAAGTGTGAGCAGGTACCCGTCAAAATCAGGTACCTGCTCCACTCCACTCCCCAAAGCTGCCAATTATTCACGGATTACAGGGGAAAGGTCCTTAAAGTGGAACTTCCCATTTTGGAAAGAGCTTCACTTTAAATTCTGCTATAGTTAGATAATTATCTTTCAAGATGTGCCAGTGTCTTTTTATACAAAAAAATACATTCTGTGACAGACAGTAAACTAGTTGCAGACTTTGGGTGTGTGCTACACATGCCCAAAAAATTCATCATTGTATAAAGAACATGTGTAGCATGTCCAGTCTCAGCTCTGCTTCTGTGACCCCCCCCCCCCCCCATCTCCTCAGAGGCAGCATTTCAGTTCGAATTAGTGTCAATAAACAACACTGCTCCAGGCCTGATGATGCTTCTACTCACTCTGATGGCCTTGTATTTTTCTACTTATGCACTCCATCCAACCTCTCCAACAATCCTTTTTCTCTCTCTGATAACCGCCTTATTTGTTTCGCTCTCTCCCTGTCTTCCACTACCTCTCCCTCCAACCGCCTAACATTTACCCGTAGAGACCTTCACCACTTTAACCCTTCTCTCCTCTACTCTGCTACTGACCACCTCTATGACAAAATCTTACCCCTGTGCTGCTCCAATCTAGCCACTTCGGTTAGCAATAAATCCCTGCCCTCTTCTCTGGACAAGCTCACTCCTCTCACTACACACAGAATCAGGCCCCAACCCCACAACCCTGGCAAACAGATGACACCACACTCTTGAGTGTCTGTGGAGTAAGACTAAGTCTCACAAAGACTTTAACCAATATAAAACTGCTCTCCAAAAATACAATTCTTGCCTCCACACTGCCAATCTGACCTATTTTATTACTCTCATTAACACCTTCTTATCCAGTCCCCATCAACTTTTCTCTACCTAACTCACTCATTGCCCAGGAGATCGCCAATCACTTCCAAAATAAGGTACAATCGTGATGAAATCTCCACAGACATCTTCCCCACTTAACACCCCATGTCCACAGGTATAGTCAACACTTTCCTTTTTCAAACCCTGCTACTATAGACAAGGAGAAGATGAAAATAATAATCATATCTAAACAAGAAATAGTTATTCTCCAAAACTTTCTGCAAAAAAATCTGTAAAAACTGAATTTATGTCTCATTATAGCTCTCTGAACAAACCAATAAAAATCTTAGATGCCTCAATCCCCATCTCATGATCAATACATGTGTACAAGCTTAAAATGTCTCAGGTGATCAAAATCCTGGGCTTGGGGCATATCAATCTTGTAGAAAATGACCAGTATCTCTCAAAAAAGAACAAGTCTCAGATATCAAAGGGGTCATTATTCTATTATAAAATATGGCTAAAAGTGTCACTATTGGTCTGCCAGACAGACAAGTTAAATGCTTATGCACTAGACAGTAAATACATAACAGGAGTAATGTTTTTTTAATTAGGAATGTCTTGGTATCATTATCAGTAACGTTCACATTAAATGCATTACCCATTACAAGTTTTATTTTTATTTTTGTTTCAAACGCCAGGTACATTTCTGATATATATATACAGTGTATATATATATATATATATATATATATATATATATATAGTGGGAACTCGCTTCAAATGGTAGAGCTTTGTTAAATGCACACAGCAACTCGCTTTCTTTTTTAAGGCCTTTTTAGCCCACTTTTATTTAAAGAAAATGTTCCATAAAAGTTTCCCATGCAGGGGTATCCACCATCACACACATGCCAATGAAAATTCAGCCTCATGGCTTGTACACAGTTTTATGTCTGTCTCCTACAGACTCTTTCCAAAATATGGCTCTCGCACACAGCTGGCCACTAGCACACAGCTAGTCTGGCTTCCACCTCTCCTTGGTGAAGCCCTCCTTACTCCAAGGCAGAGACCTCCTGTCTGCCAGGATGGAGCCCTCCTGACTCCTGTCTGCCGGGGTGGAGCCAGGAACCCTGGTCCTGACTCTAGAAGATTGCCCTGCACACCTGAGCAATCAGTATCCTGGCCATTCCCAAAACCTGGTCCCAGGACTGGAGATTTCATCCCTCCCAAATCGCTTTGAAATCTCCAGACTCCTGGTCCCAAAATGGACCTTACAAACAAATGAGGAAAGTGAAAATCCACTTTCCGCTGTATCAAACACGTACCCCAGAACCCCTTAATCTGTCTTGAAAATCCTGGGTAAAATAACCTTTCCACATCTTGACAGATCGCCCCACTGTCACAATATATATATATATATATATATATATATATATATACACACACACATACATATACTGTACATATATACACAGTAGCTTGCAAAAGTTTCAGGCACAAAACTTTGAAGATGGTGAAAACTGTGAAGAGATGCTTTAAAATAAGAATGCTTTAAAAAATATATGTTTTAATTGTTTATTTTTATCAATTTTACGAAATTCAAAGCGAGCAGACAGAAGAAAGATCTAAATCAAGATATGTTTTTTTGGTAAACTTGCATCTATGTTATTGCGGCTTCCCATCCATCGGTAGCCCTGTTCACATTACTGTGATGTTTATTTTGTCTTTAAGCTTCTTACTTAAATTCTGATTGATCTTAATCTTTACAACCCTGACCTCTTGGTTCTCTAGCAGTGTGATTGTGGTGTGAAAAGGTTGCTCCACTAGCTGTGTGCCTATTATTAACTTCTGATTGATAAATTGGCAAATTCCATCCATACCCACCACAGTATAAATCTAGATAACCTTTATGGGGGACACATGCTAGGGTTGCACATGTTGGGGTTCTTCCAATAAAGCAGAGTTTGTTAATTAAGTGGCACTTCCGCTCTTGCAAGCGATAACCTACAGCAAGGTACTATGCAAAACACCAGACTTCAGGTGACCTAGATTTCCCATTCAGCTTTCTTTCATCCCTGTAACATGCGCTCTCTAACTCCCATTTTCACAGTTGTGTCATCTTTCCTTAAGCTGTTTCCTTCACCCCTCTTCTCCACCACACAATCTGTAGACATCACCCTCACTTCTGCCCTCCTCTTATCACTACCCTCATCATCTCCTCCTAATTCTAAGCCCATATGTTAACAAAACCCCCAAGATGCTGAGGCATGCCCCCTCATATACCTGTAAATCAAACTCTGATATTACCTCCCTCACCCTTCTGCTTCTCGTAACCCCTGGAGACATATTCCCATACCCTGAGCCTCATTTATTTGACTGTAACCAATGTACCCGTCACCCTGTACCCTCTGGCAGCAGCCGCAATCTACACAATTTAGTTTCCATTCCTCTTCTTTCCAAGACCGGTCTCCCCTTCTCCTGTGCCCTCTAGAATGTCCACTCTATCTGCACAAAACTCACCTCTGTTCATGGCCTCTTTGTCACTAGCTCCTTTAATCTACTTGCTGTCATCAAAACCTGGCTTCATGAATCTGACACCACTTCTCCTGCTTCCCTCGCTCATGGTGGCCTTCTCTGAACTCACTCCCCCAGACCCAGTGGAAGCAAGGGAGGTGAAGTGGGAATCCTGCTATCTCCACAGAGCACCTTTCAGGTTCTTCACTCTCCTCACTCGCATCATTTGAAACTCACTGTGATTTCTTTAAGAATTGCTGTGATCGACCATCCCCCAGGACCAGTATCAACTTTCCATGATGATTTATCTCCCTGGCTACCTACTTTCTCTCTTCTTAAATTCCCACAATTATTCTTGGTGACTTCAAAATCCTTGCTAATACTAACACTCATTGCTACTTCTAAACATTTTAGTCTAACCTCCCCTTTTTACCTCATGCTTCTACTCACTCTGATGGCAACACCCTCAACCTTGTATTCTCTTACCTATGCACTCCATCCAACCTCTGCAACAACCCTATTGCTCTCTCTGATCACCACCTTATTAGATTTGCTCTCTCCCTGTCTTTCACCACCTCTCCCTCCAACCACCTAACAATTACCTGTAGAGACCTTCACCACTTTAACCCTTCTCTTCTCTACTACCAACCACCTCTATGACAAAATCTTACCCCTGTGCTGCTCCAATCTAGCCATTTCTGTAAACAATAGATCCCCATCCTCCGCCCTGGATGAGCTCACCCCTCTCACTACACACTGCATCAGGCCCCAACCTCCACAATCCTGGCAAACAGATGACACCAGAAGTCTTTAAAAAAATGTAGCCACACTCTTGAGTGCCTGTGGAGTAAAGCTAAGTCTCACAAAGACTTTAACCAATATAAAACTGCTCTCCAAAAATACAATTCTTGCCTCCACACTGCCAATCTGACCTATTTTATCACTCTCATCAACACCTTCTCATTCAGTCCCCATCAACTCTTCTTTACCTAACTCACTCAGTGCCCAGGAGATCGCCAATCACTTCCAAAATAAGATACATTTCATATGAAATTAACTCTACAGATATCCCCCCTACTTAACACCCCATGTCTACAGGTACACTCAACACTTTCCTTATTCCAACCCTGCTACTATAGGTGAGGTTGATAAACTATTTTTCTAATGCCCACCTAACCAGCTGTCCCCTGGACCTTATTCCCTCTCAAATACTGCAGTCACCCTCTGGCTCTATCCTACACTCTCTAACTCACATCTTCAATCTCTCCCTCTCTTCTGGCATCTTCTCCAACACTAAAACATGCACTAGTCACCCCCATACTTAAAAAGCCTTCCTTGGACCCCACCAATCTTAAAAACCTATGCCCCATCTCCATGCTCCCCTTTTCCTCCAGATTCCTTGAACACCTGGTCTACAACCAATTGAGTGACCACTTCATTAAGAATAACCTTCTTGATCCCCTTCAGTCTAGATTTCACCCTCAGCACTCCACAGAAACTGCTTTCCTAAAACTCACAAACCAACGATTTAATAACAGCTAAGACCAATGTACACTATTCTGTACTCCTGCTTCTGGATCTTTCAGCTGCCTTTGATACAGTTCACCACTCTCTTATCAAAAAAATTTGCTCCTTTGGTCTCCATGACTGTGCTCTTGGTTGGTTCTCATCCTACTTATTTCACTGCGCTTTCAGTGCCACTCACAATTCTACTTCTCCCTATCCTCTTCCTTTCTGGTCCCGGGTCCCCCAAGGTTCTGTTCTTGAACTTCTCCTGTTCTTGATCTACACCTCCCTGGGTCAGCTGATAGTCTCTCATGGCTTTCAATATCATTTCTACGTTGACAACACCCACATTTATCTCTTTACATCATCTCTTTAACATCAGTCACCTCATGCACAACTAACTTACTGAACAACATATCAGTCTGCATGTTATACCACTTCCTCAAACTCAATCTATCCAAAAATTAGCTCATAATAATTCCTCCTCCATGTGCCCCTTCACCTGACTTCTTTGTCAAGATCACTGGCACAACCATCAACCCATTCCTGCAGCCAGGGTGCTAGGTGTAATCCTGGACTCTGAACTCTCATGTCTGCCCCGCATCCAATCACTTTCCAAAGCTTGCCATCTCAACCTCCGTAACATCTCCAAAATATGCCCCTTTCTAACCAATGACACCACAAAGCTCCTAATTCACTCCCAGGTTATCTCTTGCCTCGACTACTGCAAATCCCTCCTCATTGGCTTACCTTTACATAGACTATCCTCTGTCCAGTCCATCATGAATGCTGCTGCCAGGCTCATCCACCTTACCAACTGTTCAGTGTCTGCCAACCCTCTCTGTCAATCCCTGAATTGGCTGCCACTCACCCAACAAATTAAATTCAAAATTCTAACAGCAACTTACAAAGCAATCCACAATATGGCCCCCAGCTATATCACTAATCTAGTTTCTAAATACAAACCTAATCCTTCTCTTTGTTCCTCCTAAGACCTCCTGCTCTCTAGCTCCCTTGTCACCTTCTCCCATGCTTGCCTCCAGGACTTCTCCTGAGCTTCTCCCATCCTATGGAATTCCCCCAATCTGTCTGGCTATCTCGTACTGTGTTCACTTTTAGGCGATCCCTGAAAACATTTCTCTTCAGGGAAACCTATCCTGCCTCCACCTAACAAGTGTACATTTATTTTCTCCACCAGTTCATCCCCCACAGTTATTAACTTTTGTATCACTTGAACCTCCCCTTTCAGATTGTAAACTCTAACGAGCATGGCCCTCTGATTCCTCCTGTATTGAATTGTACTGGAACTGCACTGTTTACCCTCACATTGTCAAGTGCTGGGCAAACTGTTGGCGCAATATAAATCCTGTATAATAATAATAATAATATTTTTGTCTGACTACCCTGGGCTTCAAACCAGCATCGATTCTTACACTTGGGAATTTTGTAGAATTAGAGTCAGGTGTATGATTAACCAATTATGCCACGCAAGTGCTAATGATCATCAATTTCATATAGAGTTTGAAACACAGTCATTAACTGAAACAGAAACAGCTCTGTAGGAGATTTAAAACTGGGTGAGGAACAGCCAACCTCTGCTACAAAGGTGAGGTTGTGGAAGTCAAAGGACATGCACCATGGTAAGCCTGAGCACAGCAAAAGACACAAGGTAGTTATAATGCATCAGGTCTCTTATAGACAAAGATTTCAAAACAGACCGGGGTTTCAATGTGTGCTGCTAATGCTCTTTTGAAGAGGTAGAAAGAAACAGGTAACGTTGAGGACAATATATGCAGTGATCAGCTAAGCTGGCCATACATTATACAATTTTGATATTCAATTTCCTTTAGATTTACCTTTAACTACTTAGTGCAAGGGCCTGCCTGATTGCAAAAATTTGTAAGTGTTTAGGTTTGACCTCATATTATATGGTTTTTGTAAATCTAAAGTAAAATTGTACAAGAAGATTGTATAATGTATCGCCAGCTCTAATGCAGCAATTGAAAGACGCATTATGCTTACTTCCCTTCGACATCAGAAGATTTCCAGTGGTGCCATCAGCACAGAACTGGTGGAAACCAGTGGGACCCAGGTATACTCATCTACTGCCTGGAGAAGTCTGGCCAGAAGTGGTCTTTGTGGAAGAACTGTGGCCAAAAAGCAATACCAAAATGTGTAAACAAGGCTTAGTGATTCAATTATACATGAAAACAGAGGAACTGCGGTGTAGAAAAATGGCAGCAGCTACTCTGGATTGATGAGTCAAAATATGAAATATTTGACTATAGCAAGAGGCAGTTTGTTTGCCAAAGAGCTGGAGTATGGTACAATAATGAGTGTCTGCAGGCAACAGTGAAGCGTGGTGGAGTTTTGCACAGTGTGTGTGGGTGTTTAAAGTGCTGCA